GCCCTGCCCGCCGCTCCGGCTGCCTGCATGGGCACCGCCGGGAGCGCGGGGGCTGCTGCTGCTGCTGCTGAGCAACAAGACATCGCTTTAAACTCGGCCTCAACTTAGCACAGCAAGCAAGGATGGCAACACCACTGGAGCTCTGGAGCTGCCAAGAGAGCCGGGGAACCTGGGTTTTGTTTGCCACCGTCTAATAAATGGGAGTAAAATGGAATTTCTTACCTGGGTTTTTCCTGCCTTGGTTCTACTGTGCACCCAACAGCACAGGTGTATCAGGTAAGAAATCGCCTTATCATTCTTTCTTAGACTGGCCTTAGGCAGCCGGTCGGTCGGTGTGGCTGGGGGGAAAAATGCCAGGGCTGGCTGCAGCTCCCAGCGGGGCCAGGGGCTGCTCTCCCTTTCGGGGCCACGACTGCTTTGAGCCAGTGTTCGGTAGAAAAAGGGGTCTTGACTGAGGAGTTTCCTCAATGTGCCCCATCTATATTTTTTTTTTCCCCCTTCTTTTTCTAGCAGAGGATGCACTTTGCCAACTGAGCAGCAGTCCCTTGGTTAATCCAGGGGTGTGTGTTTTAACAGGATGCCCATGGAAGCCTTTTCCCGAGGGCACTGACTCTAAATTGGGGGCAATCACTTTTTGTAAGGGCACTGCACATCCCAGCGCAGCCTCATCCCCTTAAACAGCTCTGTAGGGGGCCTGCTTGAACATGAAACTCTTCCATAAAACCCAGCACAACCGGAGGGGTCCTAACTGAACAGCCTTGCTTAGGGCCTCCATAGGCACAATTAAGAAACCCCAGATACAGACATTCCTTTCTAACGGGCTTGTTAAGCCTCCTGTACTTGAGATAAGAGGAAGAGACTGGCAGGGATTGTAGAAAAAAATGTTTGAAGAATGCCAACCATTTCTTAAAATAATAAATTGTGAAGATACATGTTTGCAATTCGCAGCCGCATTTATTCTGAAGGTGTTAGCTAGGCAACCAGCTATGCTCTCTATATATTCTCTACAGATCTGGAGGCTGTATGTGGAGAAAGCTTGCCATGATTATGCAATGAAAATAGAAGGGGGAGTAAAAAAGAACTTGCTGCATGTAAAACCATGCCTACATCACCCAGAGCAGAGATGGCTGTGGTATTAAAGGGGTCTTCCCACTTCTACTTTATGGATGTTATTAATAGCTTCAGAGGAGTATAAGAAGCAAAGTGATAATTGTAGTAAGATGTAACCTCGCTGTTACAGTTTTTGGAATTAATTAGTGAGATCTGATTTTTTTCACTGGGAAGGAAAGGGATCGCACATTAGAGGAAGTGTCAAGTCAACTGCTCATATTCAGGGCTGACACAATGTTTTATCCTATGACCTTGAATCTGCTATCCAGGGTCAGATCCTGACACCCTCATGCTCTGAAGCAATCTACAGTGAAGGCAGAGGAAACACTGCTTATGACCCAAGGGCATCAAGATCTTGCCCATAATTTCAATGATCCTGTTTCTCTATCAGCACTTGGGCTAGCATTAAGTATTTTGTTTGAAAAGTGGTGTTTTGAGTATAAAAGGAGAAAAAAAGGAATCTTAAAGAAGAGTCAGCCTTTGCAGCCTCTGTCTTCAAGGTCTGTTTCTTGGCACAACAACTGCCAGGATTTGTGCAACCTCTCATTTGTTGGATAAATGATTTTATATTGGGGCTAATTACCTAACTACTTGACTTTCTTCCTCCAGTTACACAATAGTGACGAGTTGTTTGTTAGACATACATGTACTCATGCCAGAGGGTAAGGCAAGGCAAATTCTAGCTTGTGAAATTCCAGCTGCTCAGTTTGTAGTAGTTTTCCCAATATGCCAAAGCGCAGGACATTCAAGGGTCAAAGAAAACTGCTCTGTTTAGTGCAGCACTTTCCTGAAGATTCAGGGTGGCTATGGCAGAACATTGTTTAATCCTGTAAAAAGTGAGTAACCTTGCTTACAAATGTACTTTTGATGAGTTAAACAGAACCAAACCAAAATTTTATCCTTGCATCAGTAAAATTACTCACACACAGATGACCTATGGGATAATTGCCATTATAAGGGCCCAAGAAGCACATTAGCTTCCTTATTCTTCTTCCTTGGAGTTCTGTAATATGATATTACATAGAATTATTTTTGTTCAGAGATGCTTTTATGAAGAGCAGTATTTTATTAATACTGTAGTTTTATAATAATGGGCAAAACTGCCAAACCCTACATTTTATTGCTCTGATTTTGTTTCCTAAATGTAATGGATTCGTGGTTATGATGACAGAGGCCATCCAAACCCACTAAGTGTTTTGCTTGTAAGTTCTATGAACTGCATATTGACAGGTGTAAGCAAAACATATTCAAAAAAGGAGGAATTTTTCAGCAAGTTCTGAACTCAGGGGTATGACAGAAGAATTCCCAAAGGCAAAAACTACCTATTAAAATAATGTTAAGCTTTGGCAGAGGAGGGAATTGGGGAATATGTGTAGCCTGCTTCCTCACAGCGTTTCTGAATGTCCTTTCAGGGTGCTCTAGAGGGCTGTACTTGAAGCAATTTCTCCATCATGTGTGCTATTTGACTGAAGTGAATAAGCCAAATTCATGCTAAGTCAGCACATCCTACTTAGGCCAGTGCTGTTTTCAGGTGAACATTTTTTCAAAGCAGTATTTTGTGGTCTGCTTGAGACAGTGATCAGTGGCAAGAAATTTGGCCTTTATATGATTGACAGCTCTTTGGGCAAAGACTGTAGCTACCACTATTTTATCAGAGTTTGATATGCTGTGGATGCTGCAATAATAAATGTGTCACAGTGAATGGGATCATCTGCTGAAACACACTTAGAGGAATATTTCTTCATTTGTGGAGGGAAAGGATACTGTAGACAGGAGTTCTGGGATGTAATGTCCGTACTTTATAATTCTTTTGTGAAAGAGATTTTAATTCTCTAATTAAAAATAGGCGTATCTTCTATATTTAAGATTCTACTATGTTAAATGACTTTCATACATTTGCATGGAATTGTCCTTCTGTTGTGTGTCTCCCTCAGCCTTTTACTTCTATTCATGGAAACAGAGCAGCTTTAACACGTGAATATATTCAGAGCGGTCCATTTTCTGTAGCTTAAAACTCAGAGAGAAGAAGTAAGGGCTTTGATATTCAAAAGGTTGCCATGAATTAAGCCTAATGCTTTTTCAATTACATTTCAAAATACAAAACATATTTACAGCGAGCTTCCCTTGGAGTCAGGAATGGCAGATGGGAAGGATACACATAGTGCTCTGGATAATCCTGGAGTTTGTCAGAGGCCAGATTGTTCACTGACCTTGCAGGATATTCCTTGTCCTTTTCGCAAGAAAAAGTTTTCTTGAGTGGCAATGACATCTGGGACATTTGCCTCCAAAAGATTATCTCAAAGAAAATGAAATTTACTCCATCCCTATCCTCAGTATCAGTCAAACTGGTTAAAAGAGTCATATGATAACTATGCCACAGTCCCAAAAGGACTCAGGTTAGCAGATTTAAAGAAGAAACAGGGGATGTAAAAAGTGATTATCCACATCTCACTGCTATACATGTTGTCAAAAGGTGAGAGCGCTCTCCCTACAAGCGTGACCTAAAATCTCATTGGCCACTGACTTAAAGATGCTGCTGAGCTTTTTGCACTGCTGCTAGAGCTTTTGGCACTGCTGTGCAAAAATAATATTGCTAATGTTATCTCTTGTCCAGCTGCTGTAGTGCACTTGTTCACACAGAATATATAGATTGCCTTTTTCCTTAGTGTAATTTAAATACTTAACTGGAGTTTTTCAAGTAATATTGATAAATTTCTAGCAACCATTTTCAAGCAGTGATCTGAAAGATAGTGAAGGCAGGTTAGTACCTCACTTGCCTGACAAGCCCTTTAAAGCTGTGCTGTCCAAGTTGATTGATGCTGCTCCTCCAGATCACTCCACATTCGTAGAATGCAATGGTCCTGCTGCAGCTGGGAGCAAGGTGGCAGCTTGGATAGAAAGGATTTGGGGATTTATGTGCTCTTTATTCTAGAACGGAAAGAGATTCATTTCTTTGTCATTTGAGATTCATTACTTGGAGCTGCTTTCCCTAACCTGTGTCGAGGGCAGTTCTCTTAGGCAAAGAACTTCAAAGTTTTGCCAGGTTTATCAATGGTGCCTTCCTCTCCCCTTTGTGTAGAGTGCAAGAGAACTAACCTCTTCATAGTTTAAACAGCAGCAATCTGTTTTCTGCTACTAACAACGAGCTCTGCTGAAGTTCTCACAATGTTTAAACTCCAGATATGGACAGATGCAAATATGTTCTCCAGAATATCTGCTGGAAATGAGATGTATACAGAGTCAGAGTGTGGATGAAAAACCATCTTCAGCTTTACATTTGGGAATGACTTCCAGCGTGATACTAGTCCACATGACTATGTTGCCAGTCAGTCAGCCAGGCACCCCACTCTGGCCTGGTGCAAAGTAAAGATAAGCTTTCTGATGAGCTGTTATGCCCCTTGAATTTTACAAATCAGTAGCTTAATTTTACAAAGTCCTTTTCTTACTAAAACAAGCTTTGCAGCAGCTTACGTCAGGAAGTGAAATTGCTGAATCAACAAATAGTAGTTTCCCTCTTTTCATCTTTACTGCTTACACTATGAAAAGTTAATCCCTTCCAATGCGTTTTTTCTGTGCTGGTCTTCCTTTTTCAGGTACAATAAATGAATAATATTTTAGGTCATATATAATCCCTACCATTTATCAAGGATGAATTAAATTCTCCCACCGTCCTTCATGTAACTTTAAAGAACTGGATCTGATATACGGAAGTCTAGAGGAATGGCTCAAAGGAGTTATAACAAACTGGCCTGTAAAGTGCCATGAAAATAAAGGTCTGTTTTCCAAAGTCATCATTTTTGACTGCAGACTGCTAATATTGACGCTTTTTGCCTTCACCAGATAAAAAAGAAATTAAAATGTGATAGGTAGAATAATATTGTTGAGGTTTTTATTTCTCCTCTCCCTCAATATTCTTGAGAGGGGAAGGGGAGATTTCTACTATGCTGGAGGACCTGGGATGACTTTAGACCTGACAAGCATATATCAGACTGACGCAGGCAGAACGTGGACTCATTTACACCGTGCTGAATCATACACCCAAGCATACAGCCCCTGCTGCATTAGTTCTTATGTCTGTATTATTTCCCTTGCTCCATCAGCCTTCATGTCAGTCTGACAAAATGTAATTTGAAGAATATGGCTGTTTAAAGTGATCACTGGGTAGTTTAAAGGTACAGTACAGGTTCACAGACTCACAGAGTGGTTGAGGTTGGAAAGGACCTCTGGAGGTCATCTGGGCCACCCCCCTGCCCAAGCAGGGCCACCCAGAGCCGGTTGCCCAGGACCATGTTCAGACGGCATTTAAATATCGCCAGGGAGGGAGCCCACAACCTCTCAGCAACCCGACCCAGAGCTCAGTCACCCGCACAGTGCAAAGTGTTTCCTGGTGTTCAAGCAGATTCTCCCGTGTTTCAGTTTGTGCTCGTTGCCTCCGGTGCTGTCACTGGGCACCCGTGCAAAGAGCCTGGCTCTGCCTTCTTTACACCCTCCCTTCCTGTATTTGTATACATTGATAAGATTTCCCCCCGCCTCAAGTCTTCTCTTCTCCAGGCTAAAGAGTCCCAGCTCTCTCAGCTTTTCCTCCTATGAGAGATGCTCTAATCCCTTAATCATCTGCATGAAAACAGCCTAATATTAGCAAAAGCTTTTGGTAACTCAGTGATAACTGTTTGTAAATGAAACTTTAGGTTATTCTGATTCGCATATTCTCTTTTGAGTATCTAGGAGCCATTCTGTGAGCACCATGCTAGTGTGTAACTGAGTAATTTTGTTGCCCATTTCAAAGAAATTTAAAAATGAACCAGTAGTATAAACATCAACACAGTAAATCTAACCATAAAATTATTGCAGCTGTAATACTTTAATAACCCCCACTGGTATTAAGTACATGTAGCTCCACTAACTTGAACACATTTGCTACACTGATGATCTGACCCTAAGGCTTTATTAATAATAGAAACAAGATTCATTTTAATTGTGTCATGGATATTTAAGTAAAACTCCCTCTAGATTGTAATCTGCTTAAAACACATGGCAAGCTACAGCCCACAGTTTTTAACCCAACTCTCATCATTTTAACTTCGTTTTAACTCTATGGCTCTCCTTAATGCCATTAAAATAGAATACTGACACAAGATAACTGTAAATGCTTTTTCAAAAAAGATGAAGCTCCTGGCGGTTCTTATAGTGACATTACTTCTTTTGTAGTAAGTGACTGATTATAAGTCAGTTATCTGGGGATGAGTTCTTGATGCAGGCAAGTAGCAATACCTATTGTGAAAGGCAAGCAGCTGAATTTGTTTGGGTTTTTTTCTCAGGCTGAGTATTCATAAATATACACAGTATTCTAATTTTATGATGACTTGTACCTAGCACTGCCGTACTAATGTGCATGTGGGAAGCATAAGCTAGATTCTCCCATCCTCACAGATCAGGAACCCAAGATAAGTCACTACGGTGCAGTCACCTTTCAACTTGAGTATTATTTTCAAAACACTTTACAGAACTTGGCTGCAGTTTTAGCAACAGAAATAGAAAAGCACCATCTTCTGCTGAAAAGACAAAGAGATTTTAGGTAGATATATTCATCCACCCATATTCTAGTTATTTCCTCTAACTACAAAAAGACTTAAAGTATCATATAAAAGGAGCTCAGATAATTTACTGATAAGGACTACCATTACATATCTGTGGCTGAGATTCACAAGTTACAAATAAGTAACTTGTACATTTTTAAATAAAATACTTTCAACATAGCATATTCTCTAATCTGCCAAGGCCTTAATTTAAAACATTTGTTTTCTGTATTAACCGATAGTCGTAGTATTTTCAGAAATAGGGTAGTGAATGTAAAAGAAAATAAATAAAATAATTTCTGAACTGCAATGTTTGATGGTATTGCAGAAGAAAGCCAGACCCTAGCATCTGGATCTTGCCAAGTATTATGAAACTATAATTTCATTTAATTAAATACTGACAGTTGGATGCTTGAAAGACCAGCACATAGGAAACAGCAGCCTGATAGAAAGAAGTGTTTATATAGTTGATGAGACCCAATAAGGAAGGCAAAAATTCTGTCAACATCTGTTATAAATCTTCAAAGCCCTTGTCTAAATCAATTATGTTATTCCAATTTATGTAGCTGAAAATATGGCTCTGAGTCTTCCAAAATCCTTACTCAGAAGAGATATAGGAACCTGAGAAATATCTGAGATGATAGTCATTAGAGATTAACATAGAGCAGTGTGCTCATGGCAAGGAAACATTTTAAATGCAATTTAATAGATAGCGCCAATTCTAACATTTTGCCGTGAACTAATGAAGTTTCACTTTGGAGCAGCATCCCTATGCTTTAAGGTCACATAAGCTTTGACAGCTCCGTTAATGCAAGTTTTCAGTCTCTCTGCTGCACAGAATTTAAGATTTATACACTGTAATCCCAGAACGCCTTCCTTATATAATTGACTCCATACTTGCGGGGCAAGAATTCTACAACCAGGGCAAACAAAGGTTTTTCTTTCAGTCCCCTGTGAGAAGAAGCGTTCGTTATTGTAGGATACCCTGCTACTGTGCTAGCAGTAACTGCACGTGCTGAGCTGAATGCCCAGACTGGCATATTCTGGAGAGAAAAAACGTGCTTTATGTGGGTCAATGTCGCATGAACATTTTAAGAAAGTTAGGTAAGTACCAAGGCAGAATATGTTTATGGTATATTACTCCACAGCCTTTCATCGATGCTTAACGAGTTTCTTTTCTGTTGCTAGTGATATATATCTCTCAAATGCCATATTTATTGCTGGACTCAGTGGAAGATGCTAAACCAGCGCTCAGAGAGTTTTGATATAGTACTTGCATGCAGATACAGGCCCTCTCAAACCACTGGCAAATTTTCTCTTTGCAAATAGTTGTGGTAGACGTTGTCACAGTCCTTCAGTTCTCTATTCCTGTCATGTCAATCACAGTGCTGGCAAGAGGAATTGTGTGAGCAGGCACAGATTTGCTTCAAATGAAGTCTGCCAGCTCAGTTTAAACAGTTAATGAAGACAATATAAGCTTGCCTTTGTTTATAAGAGATTATGGAATATCCATATCACTGCTTGTATGAGGAGGGTTGAGGGGCTGGCATCCGCCAGGCGGTGGGAAATGGCAGCAAGAAACTGTGCTAACGTCTTCAAGGAGCACCACTGGATCAGAAAGAAGCATGTGCCTAGCACCTGAGAGATGGAGCCTTATTTCTGGGACAGGGACTGTGGCATGCTGCACAAATCTTGACAGCAACACATTACCTCCCAAGCAAAACCTACTGCCTGCTTGGTGGCTCACTGAGGTCCCCAGAGTGACTACAAGAGGATGCGTGCATTATGGCATCCCACACTCCTGAGGCCAAACACTCACACTGCCTGATGCGGGCAAATGCAAAACAGCACAGGCAGGTGAGCTGGGGCCTTCCCAGCATGATGGAACCATCCCTAGACACCCAAAACTCAGGGGCACCTGTGGGAAGGTAGAGCAGGACAGAGACGTTTCAGTGCTATGGATACCTCACTTACTGCTCAAGACCTGGGATGGGAATGGCCCCAAATCCAGGACCATATCTTTGCAGTTTTCAGATGTTTGTACACCTTCTATTAGCATTGCTTTTCCTATTTTGGAGGCCTATGGTACTTTTCACAGTATCAAAGATGTTGAATCCAAATTCCAGCTGTGTAATTTCTACTATTTTCCCATCACATTTGACAATACACCAGCCTTCTTGATCTCAGCTGTTCCATAGTGGTACTAGGAGCTGTCACAGCTGCTGTGTCCTGCTACCCAGATAGCTGCATTTCAGCATCCACAGATGCATTTTATGCAGTATACAAAGTATCTTGATTTCCCTCATGCTTTCTTTAAATTTCTAAACCTTTTTCTTCCTACTTTTTTTTTGGAAAAGAAAAAACCTTAAAAAAGCATGTGCTTGTATTTCAGAAAGAGGCCCTAGTCTTGCCTGAAATATGTTTTGATTTAAATAGAAATATCTGAAATGGTTTTCTTATCTATATACAGTATTTTTCCACTAAATTACCAATACAGCTGATTATATGTTAGGTCGTCTCTGGTATAAAAGAAGTCAATGTCTTCCATTACCTGTTATTTTTCTGTTTGTAAACATGGCCAAATTTTAAAAGATACTTATTCTCTTTACCTAGGGCTATGAATGACATCGGAGATTACATAGGCTCCAACATTGAAATATCCTGGTTACCCAACCTGGATGATTTAATGAAAGGGTATGCACGTAATTTCAGGCCTGGGATTGGAGGTGAGACTTTGATAGTAATGTCTCTTGTTTCTTACAATCCTCTACCTTCTGCTGTTTACGTGAACTCCATCCTCTACATGATTAAAAGGTTGTGGTTGTCTATTACGTGGATACTGGAAACAATAACAATCAACTATATGGTTGATCTTAAAAAAGACAGACTGTACAGCAGAATTAGCAACACAGTCTGCTTGCTGGTACAGGTCTTAAATCACTGATTTCTAAGTTGAAGGAATTTTGGAAGTGGCAGTAATTTCTGCATTTGCTTGAAGTCATGCTGTCTGAAACTAGATGATGTGGTTTCCAGAAGGAATTCCATCATTTACAGTAGCTGTGATTGTATCTCATGTCCTTTATCATTAAAGCAAGGTATTCTGTTGGAAATTGAGGACATGATTTGTAAAAGATTTAAGTCTCTTCCTCTAAGGTAGCTTTTACTTGGAAAGTGTATTTTATCATGGAAAACACTTTTATGAATTCACTCTGTATGAAAGAACTAAGAGTCTTGGGTCATCTATATTTTTATAGGTACTATGATGATGTAAATCACCACATTCAAACATTTTTTTCTCAGGTCCTCCTGTTAATGTTGCTCTTGCAATTGAAGTAGCCAGCATTGACCACATCTCAGAAGTGAACATGGTACGTTACCAGTTAAACCTACCAAGTTGTGAACATATGTACTGCAATGACAGAAAGCGTAGAAAACTAATGAACCAGAGAGAGAGTTGATCCCCAGCATGTTTGGAGTGGAGAAATTACCACCAGAAGATACTGCAAAGAACAAACATTGTCTTTTAAGACAGGGGCAGAGTCTCTTCTGGCAGACATTGGCAATTACAAGGATCTAATCATGTATAAGTCACTGAGATTTCTTACTACAGTTAGCAAGGTTGGATCTGTGCCGCACTTACTAACAGCAAGCCTAATTTTAAGCATTAACTCCAACTCCCGTTCAAATTCTTTTTCACCACAGATACTTTCAACAAGAAGCTACAGGAGCAATTGGTTGTGAGATGCTCCTCTTTTTTTTGTGTAGAAACCTTTCAGTAAAGCAGTGGAGTATAACAACTTACAAGTCACATAAACAGCCATAGGCATGAATTAACTGCATTTCTGAAACACTACGGATTTCCTTTTAAAACCAAACCTTTGACTTTCTCTCCATCCTTTCCCTTCATTACAGATGGATAACTTCACCTGTTTTTCTAGTTTTGCTTTAAAAAACCCTTTAAAGCTAAAAGTTGTACTTGTGGAGATAAACAAACTGATTTTCTTCATTAAGACAAATGCAACTCCTGCAACATGCTATATGTAACATTGACATTGAATCACTTTTTGATGATGTCTTGTGTTTATCCAAGGTAGAAGCATATGAGAGAAATTAAACTGCTTGGGTAGCTCTGTGGTTGACTGAGTATAAAAATACTTATTTGTACAGGAAACAGTTAATGCATTTCTAGGCTAACACAATGATTTTTGACCAAGTCCCAAGGCTTTATCATTGTGGTTTTTTAGCATCACTTTTTAACTGGGGTTTCTCTTCTCACAGGAATACACCATGACGGTATTTTTGCACCAGAGCTGGAGAGATGACCGTCTGTCTTATAACCACACAAATGAGACTTTGGGCTTAGACAGCCGGTTTGTGGACAAGCTCTGGTTGCCTGATACTTTCATAGTAAATGCCAAGTCTGCCTGGTTCCACGATGTGACTGTGGAAAACAAACTTATCAGGCTCCAGCCAGATGGAGTAATTTTATACAGCATCAGGTGAGCGAGGAAGAGTGCGAGGGTACTCTACCATGTATTTTTGAACAGACTGTAAAGTAATCACTCAGTTTTCCTGGGATGATTTCCTAAAATAATTACTAATTTAAAACAGAGGAAAGTACTGGTGACTCCTATCAGAGATCCCTTTGCTTTACAAGGATTACACTGCCAGGAAGGTATCTTTGGCCATGCTAACACATTTTCTGCTGCATAATCACTGATCACTTCCAGAGTGTCCTTAATGGGAGACAAGCATCTCACAAGTATTTGGTCAGCAGGCAAGGAGATGCTGAATACAGCAAAGATTCTGTTCTCCACTCTCTCGCTATTTTACAATGGAACTATGAGCCTGATTTAGGCTCAACTATCCATTTTCCTCATCTTTCACACAGAGAAAGTGGCATTTCCTCGCTTTGGAAGAGTGTTCTTGCTAGAACTCAGTAACTGTATTTAAAGTTAATTGTGTAATGTTCTAAAAATTAATGTGTGCACTTTTGAAATTTTAAGTCCAAAGTCACCCTTAAGTTATTGGTAGTGATCTTGGGGACAGTGAAAGGGAGTAGATTTGACTCAGAAAAGTCCTTTTTTATCATCAGAAATAGCTGAAGTGTCCTCTGACATTAGACAAGTCATTTGACCTTTCTTCAGTTATCCTCCACCTTCGGGTTTCCCACAGACTTAGTAAAGATAATAGCCATAAGCATTTTGAAAATAGTTTCTGTATTAGTATTAAGGTTTCAAAGTTTTCCATTTAGTCTTTGACTTCTGGGGAAAAGGCTCTGTCTGAACGCAACTAACTGGTGTTTGTGTTGCTTGGAACAGGATCACCTCAACAGTGGCCTGTGACATGGACCTTTCCAAGTATCCAATGGATGAGCAAGAGTGCATGTTGGATTTGGAGAGCTGTAAGGCCTGAGTACAGTGTTTCATATAATCTGTATTTTGTTTAAAGCCTGCATATATGGTACTTAGCTTTCTGGAGTTTGCTGGAATGATTCTGCTTTAGTCAATGATGTAAGGGGTGCCTTAGGATTTAGAAATGAAGGGTACAAACAAGAATCCCTTCATTCTTGGTGTTGGGCATTAGACTATGGACTTTTCAATACCAGTTCAGCTCTGATCCAATTCAAAGCTATAGGATTTAATTTAGTGAAGATGAACAACCTACAGGCCTCCTAACAAATGTCTGGAACTTTGTGCTTCATGTAAAAGCTAGTGCAATTGTGATAGTCACTAGCGTTACCGAGGTTTGCATCAAATCCAGTGAGAATAAGGAAAGAAGCCCACAGGCAAAATTTGACGTGCTATTTTTTCTTTATGAGAAAACAGGAAAAAGAAAGAATTCCCTATTTTTAATGAATGCCATTGTGACTAACCCTTACATAGCTGTTTAGCTTGCTTAGGCTTTCCTGGATCACACAGAAATCAATCAGAATACTGCATGGATCGGCTTAAATTCATTTGTACTCACCAAGGAGGGTGAAGAATGAATTTATATTTTGTCCAACCTGTATTTTACCTATTTTATCAGCATGTAATGCCCATGAGCATTAACACTTTTGAATGAAATTCACTGCTGACACAAGGAGGAGCCAGCCAGTCAACGGTAATGAATCTGGCCTTTTGTGGATTTTTTATCAAGGAGTCTACAGGTCCTGAGGGTTCCAGACATTTGTGAATAGCAGTTTCTGAGCAGATTCACTGGCCTACTGATGCAAGTTTCTCTTTTCTTTTTTAGCACTGACTTTGTTTTCTGGGCAATTAACCACAATACCATTTTATCCTGTCAAAAATAGCAATCTCCAGTTTTACTTATGTAATCACCAAATGCAGTGCCAGCAGACAGTGAACCAGCAATCGATTCTCTCTCCCAGCAGGTTCTGCAGGGAGTTTTGGTGGTGGTTGAATTTTTAATTGAATTTGAGGGGTTTGATTTCAATGAAACAAACATGCAGAAATAAAGCCTCTTTAAACAAATGAATGGTTTAGTAGCAATTTGTCCATTAACAGTAAAACTAGCAAAGATCGATTCCCTATGGATTTGCATATTACATAAATCCCCTCATACATATCCCCTCCCCGCTTCTTTCATGTCCCTGGTGCCCTGCACTTCTCCCTAGCAGTCACCTTCCAGCTGCCACCCATGCCAAACTGCAGCCATTAACAGGCTGAGGCATATGGTGATTGGCAAGCTAGCTGGTGCATCTCAGAACGGGCATGGCTCTGAGTTACACTGCTGTTCTCTAACTGGATGCACACATTTGTTTTTCTGTTCTCTCCACACCATTTCTTACAAAACTTTCAAGAACGAAGCATCTTTGGAACCTTTACCTTTTTGTCATTTTGGTTTGAAAATATTGAGGAAGTCCCAAAGCTGTGAGGAGGAGAACTGATAGAAAACCACTGCGTAGGCAGTTTACATAGGCACTGCTTTCTGATTAAACCACCTTAATGGTGAGGGAGGCCCTAACCGTTGTTTCCAAGAGCGGTGGGGTTCGTACGAACAATTCGGCTCTATGCTTCACTTCCATGCAGCGTCCATTTGTAAAAGCACTGTAGGGCTTGCGAGGGGAGATAGTGAGCCAACTGGACGCATATTTTTGAGGACACTGGGGGAATCCCTGGCAAAGGAAATCTGTTTCCCTGACACTGCCTGACTGGTACAGAGTACCTATCTCATAAAATCAATGTGTGAACTTGGAGATAGACTTGCAGTACAGAATTATACTCTGATCTGTCTTTAGTAGGATAGGCATAAATAGATTAGATTTAGTAGGTTTTTTTCTTTTACAAACAGAAATTTCTGTAACCCTGAGATCCAAACACAGTGCAGGGCTAGTTTGAGTGCTACAGCAACAGTTACTCCACTTTAAGTGAGCATGAAAATGAGCTTTTTGAGAGATAATTTGAATATTTCTCATGACACTGAAGTGCATTGTTCCATAGCACATATTGCTAGTCAGCGTGAATCAACTTGGATTGTTCTCCCTGTAGGAAAGCTACCCCAGTGTGACACTGGCAGCATCGATGTTGCCAGGACAGTGAATTATCCAGACTGAATCACAGCATGTTTGCAATGGGACCGACAAGAATCAGTGTAGCAGAGCAATTAGAGGACTTCCATGACAAGTCCTCTAAGTTCTTAATTTCTTCCTCAAACTTTGTGTTTATTCAGCTTTCTTTTGGCAGATGGCTACTCTTCAGAGGACATCGTCTACCACTGGTCAGAAAACCAGGAGGAGATCCATGGGCTGGATAAGCTGCAGCTTGCTCAGTTCACAATTACCAATTACCAGTTCACAACAGAAATGATGAACTTCAAATCTGGTAACAGGATCTGTCTTCAATTCAGGGACAGTATCTGACTTTTTCCTGCATAGGGAAACCTTCTGTATCTAGAATAGAAAATCCTTCTTCTTAAGTAACTCATTTAGGAATCTGTCAGGTTTCTGGTAAGTTTTCCCTAGCTTACATGGGCAAACAATGGCAACCTTTGCTGAGCCTTCAGGTAGCCACCGTGGCATATTATGTCCTTCAGCTCTGTATGTTTAACAAAATACTGCATGGAGCAGCCAGACAGCACGTGATAAAAAACACTTGAGGTATAGCTTGACCTAATTTGCGACTTTGGATAGAGAAAAATTTCCATTAACCGTGATGTTATAAGGCTTATGACGTACGGTCAGATCATTCTAATTCTATCCAGTAGAAGTCAGCGGTGTGTATGCGTATCACTG